AGTGGCCTTCCTTGACTGCACATCTTTTTCCTTTTCTTCTTCCGGTATTCATCTAAACCCGAATGTTTTGATATTGCTATCTGGGCCTTATAGAAAGAATGGCGTCCGTCGCAGATATACAACCAGAAGCTCACCCCTCAACTCCTGATTCCGAGACTCATTACGCTTCGAATACTCAATTGAATCCATCTGATCTCACGGACTCAACTACCCCGGTCACCATTCCACAACCAAATCCACATGAAAACCAACATCGGCCAAATCCTCGTCCAAAGAATCCTACATATTCGCAGTTCTCACAAACACAGTCAGCCACAACCCGATCACGCGCATATTCAACAACTTCCACGTCGTCAGTAAATTCCGTTCGTCGCAAACCTTTACCTGTCAGTGCCTCGCCTTTGGCAACCAGGTTCTCCACCAGGTATTCCACGGCGGAATACTTCAGTCCATTTATCGAAGAATTGCCAGAGCCGGATCTTCCATATTCTCGGTATACGAATGTTGCTGATAGTCCAACACTTTACGAATTTCCGTCAGACCTCAAAAGCGCTTTACCATTTTCCCCAGAAAGTTCTAGTAGTAGAAATTCCATCCGAAGTTCAATAAGAAGTTCAAGGAGCTCCAAAAGTTCTAAAAGCTCTAAGAGTGTTTCGAAACAAGAACGACCGTCATCAAAGTATGTTTACCAGGCATTCACCATCTCTAACATCCTATCAACCATATTCACTGTTTCATGTTGATGCTAAGTCTACTCAATTAGGAGATTTTCGAGCGAACATATCGCTTGGAATTCAGTGACGCCAACGCTACCACAACAACCAACGGATAACGAAGAACAAATCCTTAGTCCAAAGAGTCCGAACCTTTTAGTCCCGTCTCATTCACGTCCACCGGGAGCCTCGAGGCATGAAAGATTGGTTAGCGATTCGCCATTAAGTTCTGATTCTGAATCTACCGGTCATTGGTACGGGGATTCAAGTCCAGGAAGTCGTCCGGGTTCTGCTACTATGTCCATTTTCTCATCCAAAGCTACACCACCACATAATATTATACCTAATGCTCCGGCACGAACCTATACTCACGAATCTCACGACTCTACATCAACTATACAAAAACCCAAATCACCAGGGAAACTCGGTTCTTTCTTTAGTAGCTGGGGAGGTGCCGTATCCCCATCGAGTTCAACGACGACCTTTTCGGAAGATAAGGCAGATTATTCACCAAACTCACCCTTACCGTCGTCAAATGCATCTCCGCATAAACTCTCGGAATTTGAAGACTCCCATTCAAGGGCACATACTAAAGCGCCACCGGCCGCGATCGATATTCCCAAAGCCAATGCAGATGCTGCCCATTACTTCGAAAACGCATATCTACAAATACCCATAGCGACACCTAGTCCACCTCCTCTACTAGTTGAAGAGATGGAGCGAGAATTGAAAGAAATCAGCCAAGAGCTGGCATCTTCCATAAGAAGGGAGATGGATCTGGAAGATCTTGTAGACAGGTTACAACTCGAAGCCCAAAATTCAGGAACAAATGGTAGCAAGCGGACAAGTGATTATTTCTCAGATTCTGGAACAAGTGTGATTCCCAGATATGGAGAACCCGACCCTAAGCAGGATGAGCTTGATCGAATACAGAGGAAGACAGAGCAAGAGAAGGCTTCTATCAAATTAGAGCTCACAGATAAGCTACAAGATGAGAGAGCTATAAGAAAGCAACTCGAAACACAAATTCGGTCTTTAGAGGAAAGAGCGGCCCAGGTAATTCTCTCCCAGTCAAAAGGAATGAATAGAACTAACATAATACCCTAGGTTGATCTTGCAGCTATAAATTCCGTGGATGCTAATGGACGACTTAAAGAGTTGGAAGCAACTTGTGAAGATCTTCGACGCAAATTGTCCGAAGAGAAACAGATCAGGGAAAACTTCGAAGATCTTTTGACTGCACTCAAAGCAGACCTTGAAACCTCACATAACGAGCGTGACAATTTACGAGATGAAATTGTTCCTCAGCTCAAGGCACGTGTCGAAGGACTTGAAGCACAAGCTGCAGAACATGAAAAGTTGACCTACGAGCAAAGCAAGATGAATCAAGAAATTCAGATTCTCAAGAAGGAGAATATCACATTAATAAATGCCCAAAGGCTACAAATGGAGATGAACCAGTTCAATTCTCTTTCGGAAGAAGACAGCATAAGCAATCTACCCAGGTCGAGATCATCTATAATGAGCATCGGTGGTATCAGTGCACTCGGTGGTTTGAGTGGGGGTCTAGGTGGATTGAAACGGGCCAACTCTCTTGCGCACACTGGCAACACCGCTAGATCACCTGGCTTATCTAGGACAACATCCGTCAAGACTGCTGAGTCTAGAGAAGCCTTGGCAGAACGAGTAAAGGATATTGAACTTCAACGAGATTCTCTACATCGTGCTCTTAAAAGTTTGCTTGAACGTCAAGAGCACCAGAATCGTGAAAATGAAAAGAAAATTCGCCAATTGGAAATGGAAAGAGATCGTGCTATGAACCAATCCCCGAGGCGGCAAGGATACGATAAGGAAGTTTCAAATCTTAGAGAGGAAATCAATACCCTTCGTCGCCGTGCTGATGAAGCAATTGAGCAGAAGTGGCAATGTGAAAAAGGTCTAGGTGGTTTGAAGATGGATCTCGATCGTGCTGAACAGGAAATTGGCTCACTACGAAGCTTGTTACAAGAGAAGGACATATTGATCAAACGATCTAGTACAGATTCTAGGCCCGGCAGCTCACACGCTACCTCCGAGACACTCGAGCGATCGTACCGGGATCTTCAGGCGGCTTACTCATCTTCCTTGGAGCGAATCAAGGCTCTTGAAATCTCAGCCTCTAATGACGAAGATACTGCAAAAGCTATGGAGCAGTTGGATAGAAGCTTATCTGACGCAATTACAGAAAGAGACATTGTAAAACAAGAGCTTGAGGCAGTCAAAGAGCAATCAGAATCTTTGAGAGATTCCGAAAAGGTACATCTTCAAGAGGAGATGCAATTGGCAGATGAGCTACGTGAATCCGCCAGACGGGTTGAGGAATTGGCTGGACAAGTCAGAGTACAACTTGCTTCAAATAGCACTCTTAGACAGCGTCTAGCTGACGCTATTGAGCGAGGAGAGAAGGAGCAGAAAGCCAATGCTCAAAAGATCACATTCCTTCAAACTAAGCTCAGGGCTCTTGAGGAAAAGCTTATGGCTGCTCAGAATATCTCTGAAGTCAGAATTGCTCGTCATGAAGATGAGATTCGTGATATCAAGGACAGCCATAATATCCAGCTTCTTCGCGTTAAGTCGGAACTCCGCTCTCCTCGTTCATTTGGGCCTAAATCTCCCATGTCTCCATTGTTCGCAAATGCGAAGAAGACACCGCGTCTTTCTATTACCACATCCGGAAAAGGAATGTCAGTAACCGAGGACTCGAAGGTTGAGATTTTGCGACAGCAAGTTGTAAACCTTGAAGCTGCTCTTGCAGAAGCAGATAGAGAGATGGAGGAAGTTGTCGGCCGTATGAATATCGCACAGATCGAAGTAATGGAATTACAGAACGAAAGAGAAGAGGCCGTACGTGAAACGAGGAAATTACAGAAGACAATTGAACAAGAAAGATTGAAGGCTTTCGAGGGGAGATTTGCTACTCTTAACTCTTCATCATAATGAATCTGGGGATGTTGAGGCTGAGAGTGGTTTTGAGATTGTTTCATCAAGCGGCTTTAGCGTTTGTCAGTCTGGTGGTGATTTCCTATCAGCATTTTTACTTTGTCGAACACCCAAGAGCTCCGGAATTAATGAGTCTCAACGGATGGGTGAATATGGAGTTTTATTTATTATTGATTGGCATTATTTTTTTAAGTCATCGACAAAATGCATCAAATGGAATGAGCCAATTTGGTGGCTTTTACATCATATTATATATACTAAGGTCGACAGATATCTTGGTGGAGTTGAATGGTATTTTATCTAATATTGTTCCAAAGGTGGTGGAACCAATGATGAGTGGTGGTCAAGGAATGGAGATGGTTGTAATTGTTTTGGTAATAGACCTCGTTGTGACACAGGGACAGATACATAAGGGTATAGGGATAAATGGGAAGCAGTGGCTTATATGATTATTTGTTGTATATTGTATATACTGGATTTTTAGAAACCAGATGGTACGAAGGGGATAGGGAGAAGAATTAGTTGGTTGGTTGCAAGTATCTTACTTGGTCTTGGAATCAAATGGAATGAATGGATTGTGTTGAATCATCTCTTTGGTGCTTTTATTGTTGTGATTTCAAACTTGTATTTTTCTTGCTTTGATTTTACATCTCGACCATGTATCTGGGTTTCGCAATAGTGTGCGTAGAGAAAAGGGAATTTGCGAGTCTTCGTTCTATCTGGAAAAGTTTCTAGCGGGTATTGCATATAGTCGAATGGGCAGAGTGAGATGAAACATCTATAGTCGGTCTAATTTTTGGACCTGGGAACCTTGGGATGTGGACAGAGCAGCTTTTTTGTGTGTATTTTTTTTCTTCTTCGTATTCTCGTTGAGTTTAATGTAATTTTTGGGGAGAGGGAGAGGGTAGGGGGGAGAGGTGTTGATGGGTTCATAGAAATCATTGGGCATTAGAACACAGATGAGTGAGAACTACTTTTGGAAGAAAGTTACAATCTAGGGTTTTAAAGTCGATATATATGTCGGTCTTTTCGGGGAATGGTGTATGTGACACCATATGAGGTGCAAATGCGAAGGATCTTATCATTCGATCGATTGTATGGTCTTCTTGTCCGATGTAAATATATTTTGGGAGTGTAGTTGAATTATTTTGGATTATACAATCGGCATCATTTTTTTTCTTCATTTTTTTTTGCTATATACTACTAGTCTGGACAAGTTGATATGACCTTTGATATAGAAACATCGAGATGATGGGACTTCGTCTGTTAGTGCAGCTTGATGTGATGGTTGGTTACTTTGGAATTCTGTTAAGGTATGGATATGTTGATGGCGTTGTCAAAGGAGGGAAGGAGGACAGGGTTGGTGAATGGTAGAAGGTTGGAAGGGCAATGGAATGGAATGCTTGGAGGAAGATTGAGTTTGGGTTTCTCTTTTCTCTTGAATTGATATTCTATAGGGGTTGTAGTATCGTTGGCCCTGGATTGGAGTGTGATACACTGATCACGAGGGGTGGTACTATCATTTGTGTCTGTCTTAATTTCAAGGAGAATTTGTTTGAAGTAGGTAAGTTTGGTAGATGTAGATAGTCGGTTGAAGGTTTTGCTAATCTAGTTACTTGATGTGTTACATGATATTGACCAGTACACCGGAACAGGTGAGATCACATACCTCTGTTAATTTGAGGTTATCACCTCCAATTCTAGCTTCGTTGGTTTTGACACTGACATTGCTCTCAGGAAGGGTACGATATGGATATGTGGACTTTCTGTGATCCGGGCACAAGCAACCCAAGGGGGAAGAAACTAGTCGCTCTTGTTGGAGATCGAATCCAAATTCTGGGAAATGTCGGCTAGATTGAAAGTCAAAGATAGATGTTACAGATAACTATATTTTCTTGAAGTGGCTGTGGTGCATAGCCTGGCATTGGGCGTGATCAAGCCTTACTGTCCACCAATCAGAAATAGCACCTCAGCCTCATCAGTGAGATTGTGAATCAATAAACTCCGTGAACACTTCTCATGGTCTGGTTGATTTATCCATCTTAACTTTTGAAAGACAACTAACTATAAGATGGCATCGATTGAGATGACAACTCATTCAGGGTCGCTTCCCCCAACTTCGGCAGGACAAGATCTCGTTGTGTCCTCGAGTGAGCATCTTGCAACTGATACTTCTCTCAGCAACCCCGCGTCTCGTGCTTCCTCTGGAGCAGCAGTTTTAAACGTCTATCCGGTGTTTCTAGCACCGCGAATTACACCTACGAAGTTAGTTTCGAAGCGTGCCCTGTGGGGTTGGTTGAAACATACAGAAATTAAAACTAGCCCGTTAACGCTATTTGTAACATTACTCGGTCTTATCGCCGCAGTCACATATGGAACATCTACTTGGATACTTTCGAGTACTGCTGCTGATGCCACTGCAAAAGCAAATCGATTGGCTCTTTTCACGGCATGTATATCATTTTCGGATCAGCCGGTAAGTTGCAAGTCATATTTTATGTTGTGTGACTGACTACACACCAAAACAGACCTCGCTGATGAATTCTAGATTATCGTTAATTCGAACTTCTGTAGAGCAAATAGCAATGCTAGCTTAGATGGATTTGCTAAGCGCGACACAGCAGGCATCAGTCCACCGTTGTTATGGAATATGGACGTGCTTGGAGAGGCTCTTCAAATTGTGCAACCTGCTTGGCAATGTAGAATTGTGTGTGGACAGGAAAGGGTGCTTCATCCGCCAGATTTAACACTCGTGCTCTCCATTCCGGTATCGAGCGGCGAAAATTGTCATCTCGACTGTCTTGAACCTATTCAGGCTACGTTTGGGGCGAAGAAACTCTTTCAAAAACGATTTGAGGCATTAATTGCTGTAGTCTCCTTCACAATATTCTTGTTCTTCTCTCGAAAGTGTCTTGCAGAAAGCACTCTCAATACCATTGTCACTGTCATAACGTACATGTTTCTAATGTTATGCATGGCCTCGTTTATATCCGGAAGACTTCACATTTTATGCCAGCGCGCCCAGCTTGCATACCGAGTCATCAATACAACGGTTTCCAAAAGTCTCATAGGAGTCATCACAACGTCACTATTTTATCAATTCTTCAACTTGAGCTCGAAGCCACCCATTTGGCTCAAGATGACTGGCTGGATTCTCTCCGCCTTCAACATTTTAGAGCGTGGACCGTTCACCAGCGATACTGCACTTCTCCTGATCACCCATATCTTCGACTTTGACTTGCAGTACCTTTTTTGTTTGTTTTATTGTCGGCTCGTCAAAGGACATCGCTTTCGGTCGCCAGGACAATTGATATATCTAGTGCTCTACACTCTCTTATATGTAGGGTGTGGAATATTGTTTGGAATATTAAATCGACCACCCTACTTTCGGGCCACCCCTGTTTAGGGCCACCCTTTTACATTAAAAATCGCTTTTTTAGTCTATTAATATCTCTATCAATATATAATCTAATTTAATAAAAATTTGAATATATATAATTTAAGCTATTTTAAGCTTATTTTGAAATTTTGAAATTTTTAGGAATTTTCTATATTGAGATTCAGACCTTTAAAATATCGATTTTTTAATTTACATAAGAATCACATACAAATTTAAAACTTTTATAAAATCTTTAATAACTTTTTAATAATAACTATTAAAAGAAAACTATATATCTTTTTGAAAGTTTTAAACTTAAATTTATATAGAAATTAAATATTTTTTTTAAAAAGAAATTAATAGATATAGAGATATAGTATATAGTGAGTTTAGAGTAATATAAATAATCCCTGTAATTTTGAGGGCATTCTTTTAAATATCTATTTATAGGAAATTTTCCTTTTTTCCTGAATCCTTTAAAATAAATATATTATAAATTTATAATAAATTTTTATAGTTTATTTTTAATAATTTTTATTAAAAAGTTATTAAAGATTTTATAAAAGTTTCAAATTTATATATGATTTCTATATAAATTTAAAAATCGATATTTTGAAGCTCTAGTGTTACGACGGCATCCAACATACCGCGTCACATGACATAAATTACACGTGATGGAGCGTCAAGGAGCTTCAGCGCTCCTGGAGCGCGTTGCGATCCTTAACGATCCAACATATTGGAGAGGTCCTAGAGACCAGGATAGAGAACGAAGGTCTATATAAGGGAATGGGTTTCATTACAATGTAGAGCTTCGTGCTCAAGAACAATCATTAGTTTCATTACTATAGTTACGAGAATTGCAACCAGTTACAACCTTATTGAGTTCCTACTTAAAGTTTAGTCTAAACCACCTCGAGAGAACTCTAGACACTTCCACGTGACCCTAGAGGCAGCTCCCGTAACATCTAGATCTCAATACAGAAAAATCCTAAAAATCTAAAAACTTCAGATTAAATTCAAAAAGATCCGAATTATATATATACAAATTTTCAATAAATTCTATCTATAAATAAAAGAGTTAAAAATTCCATTTTTGGTGTAAAAAGTGGCCCAAAAAGGGGGGTGGCCCGAAAGTAGGTTACCCGACTTATGTGGTGTGATATCATTGATCCTGTGACGAATATCACATGACATTGCGATTATTCATCACGCTTACCTTAGTCCAAGACTAGCTTGAACTAAGCGATTGTTATTATATAAGAGATAAAGAGATCTCTAAAGATCTCTTTCCTCTCTGGCTTTCTTATTCTAGTTGATTAACCTCTATCGATATGCTCTAGTCTGTGATCGCAACAGAAGTAAAGAGAGAAACTCGATTAGATATAAGCTATAAGCTGAGGATGAGGAAATGGTTGTCTCCGAGTCTCTGATTTGAGACACTTACTTGTTATATATATTATTCTCAAAAACAATATCATCATGCTCTCATCTTTGATAGCATTGGAATTCTGATCCTATATAGTGAATTTGATCGTTAAGCTCGCGTGTTCACCCCTTGTCCCTACAACGTTATTCATTCGCTTCCTTGTTACTTCGCTTAGCTTGAACAAAATGTATTTAGATACTCCCCATGGTTATATTACTATAACGCAATTCATCGTACCACCTACCCATTTTTATTTTTGTTCTTGAAACAACTATTTGCCATTACTGATCTGATCTACTTGAACGGTTGGTTTTATTGACGTAGTATTCCTGCCCCCTTACACTGCGTTTTGTCGACGTCAACCTCTCGTCTCCGATATTCAAGATGATTAGGCTACGCAACGGGTACCCGCAGGGCAAATAATAACCTCGACAGATAATCCGCGGATAATCTGTCTACAAAGCAGATAATTCAGAATCTAGACGGGTAACCTATAAAACAAGTACAAATTACCCGCAAATATCCATCTATTTATATATTATATAACTATTTATAATCTCTTATAATATTAATATAATTTTATAATCAATATAAAAATTAATATAAATTTAAGTTTGGATTACTTTTAAACTAAAAAATAATTTAAAAATAGTTTTATATTTTAAATAAAAAAAGTAGAGAATCTATAACGTAGTTTATTAGTGGGTCGGTTATATTAATAAATCAATCACTTTTACCTCGAATTGTCATTTCAAAGTTATATTATTCAACAACAATTAAATCAATTAATTAAAATTATTAAGAATCTAATAATCTAGAATCTATTACATTATTTTAACAGTGTTACGGGAGCTGCCTCTAGGGTCACGTGGAAGTGTCTAGAGATCTCTCGAGGTGGTTTAAACTAGACTTCAAGTAGGAATTCAATAGGGTTGTAACTGGTTGCAATTCTCGTAACTATAGTAATGAAACTAATGATTGTTCTTGAGCACGAAGCTCTACATTGTAATGAAATCCCATTCCCTTATATAGATCTTCGTACTCTGATGTTGGTTGGAGTTTCTTGGAGTCCTGGCTCCCAAGGACCTCCTTGGAGCCCTGGCTCCTGGGGACTCCACCACGTGACACTTGTCACATGGCATTCTGTTACCCATCGTAACAAACAGATTCTTACATTATAACCTGTCTTTTTATATTTATTACAATATCAATTAGAAAATACTTTTTTATTAGAATTCCTTCTTTTTTAATATTTATTATATTAAATTTAAATATCAATTTTTTATTAAAATAATATATCAAGAGTTTTTTGTTTAGTAAGCACTTTTCTTTAATGTAATTAAGTTTTTTATATATATTAATATTTACTTAATACTTTATTTATTATTCAAAGTATATAATTCTTTATATTTAAAAGTGTATTTTTATAAGCTAATCTTTTTATATTTTTAAGTAGAATTAATATAATTTTAAATATAAATATAGAGAAGCTTACTTAATAATAAGTTATTTAAGATTTAATTAATATTAATTGAGAAAGAGCTTTAATTAGATTATAAAGGGTTTAAAAGATTTATTAATTTAAATTGAAAAAGGGAAAAGTAAATATATGAATTTGAATATTTAATTTCAAAATTAAATAAAATTAAACCTATTCTTCGAAATTCTAATTTCATATTCTAAAAGGTAATTGATTTCTTATATATAGTTTTAAAAACTACAAAGAATTCAATCTTCAAAATATAATTAATATATACTTTAATAAATTCATTAATTTAATTATTATATAAACATTTTAGATTACTAAAATAATCAATATCAAATAGTTAAGTTAAATAACTTAAATATAATAATAAACATAAATATATAATATTATTCTTTTTATAATATATTTAAAAAACTATTGATTTATAGTTTTCATACTTATCCAGTATTAATATTCAATATTTACTCTTTCTTCAATTCTTAATATACTTATTGAAGTATTTCAATCATTTAAACCTATTTTATTATTTATTCATTTATTAGATATAAATTTAATAATTTATTTTATAAAAAGATTGGTTTTGATATATCAATTGAAAAGATGGACCTATTTCTAAATCATTAAAAATAAAGGAATAGTTTTGTTCTTTCCATTTCCATATATTATTATTATAGTTTATTCTTAATTACTTAACTATATAGATTTACTTCTATTACATTTCTTATCACTAATAATAATCATTACTATATATATAATTCTCATTATAAAATCTGTTTTATTGAAATTATAAAAATCTTTATTCAAAATACCATATTTCGCTTATATATTTATAACTAATCGAAACCACTTTTTAATAAACTTAAAATCCTTATAAAGAACTCTTTGAAAATTATAAATACAATTAAAACATATTTTTAATTTAATTTAATACTTTACAAATCAATATACCCAAAGCTTCCCAACACATTTCATATCTTTCAATTCAAAAATATAATTCACTATATCTTCCACATTCTTAAATTTAAATAAAAAATCTTTCAAATTCATATTAAAAATATATTAAATAAATACCTTCTCTTCTAATTCAATCAAATTATAACTTTTTAATCAACTCTCAATCATATTAGATTTACTTCAAATTCTATCACCCAATATAATTCGAAATATATAATAAAACTAAGCTGTTTTTCGAATTAATAATTTTTTATCTAATTTAATAACTTAAATAACTAAGATTATATATACTTCTTTAAAATGAATTTTCATAATTAATTATAAAGAAAATACATAGTTATTAAATATAGAATAATAATTCAAGGTAAAAGTGATCGATTCATTAATATAACCAATCCACTAATAAACTACATTATATTTACAAATTATTTATAAATAATCTACAAATTATTCATAAATAACCCTATATCCATAAATAATCTATCTATTTGTAAATAAATGAATTATTTGTAAATAATCTGTAGATTATCTATATAAAACAAATAATTTTAAAGCTTTAATAAATAATCTATAGAGCAAATAAAACCTTTAACGAATAACCTGTGGAGCGAATCATTCGCAGATAATCTATGAGTACAGATAATTTGTGCGCAGCCTAAAGATAATAGTAGTGAGAAAGGTGTATAGTAGTTTATTAGAGGTGTGGTAGAGAGGAGATTGAATGACGATTGTATGTTACTTGTTACAGTAACGAGCATGAGCATATCAGTTACAATATCAGATAGTAAAACGGAACAGACTAAAAAGTAGAACTCCACTCTGCTCACTTCATTTGGGACAAGAAATTCGTTCTACAACATGATTATATAGCGATCAAAATACTCCATTGCGCTTTCATTGATAACTAAGTCCTCACACAAGGATTTCATACTAGATACTATTTAGATGTGATCCAATTAATAACCCTCATGTATCTATCCAAAATCGTTAAT